GGGCCCCAGAGTGGCAGGTAGCCCGTGAAAGGTGTGAAGGATGAAAGCTGATGATGCTGTGCCTAGGGATGGCAGACCCAATTTTTTAATGGTGGGGATAGGGGTCAGAGTGGGGGCGGGGGAATGGCTCAGATTACCCGCTTCATTCTCAGCACTGGGTGTGGTCACTTCCCCATCTTACCTCTGGATGCACTTTACAATCACCTGGGCAGCTTCTAAAGCATCCTGATGGGCAGGCCCCACCCGCAGAGGGTCTACCTCAATTGGCCTGGGGTGGGGCCCAGGTGCTGGCACTTTTCAGGTCCCCAGGTGATGGTGATGGGCAGCCAGGGGGGAGAACCTCGGCCTGGACCTCGGACAGCCTCATGATGGAGGTTCAGACCCCACACGGAAAGGGTCCCAAGTACAGGTCCTCTGCTGGGGCCTAAGTGTGTGCCTCGCTGGAGGCCAGCCACGTGTCCAGCAGCCTTAGATGACCACATGGCTGCCCTCGGGAAGTGCAAAGAGAGAAGCAGGGCTGCGGCCCCTGCAGTTTCCAACCAGGAGAGGCCGCCGTCAACAGCAATCAGGTTGGGAGTATTTCCTGCATGCAGGAGATGTGGTGGCCTTCTCTGGTACCTGAGGCTTCCCCTTCTCTGCATCCGTTTCCTCATCTGCTATTTGGATTCAAAGAATGCCTGTGCCCCTCTGAGCTGACGACAGAGGAATGCCATTTTGCAGGCTCCCCCAGTTTCCCTAGGAGGAAGGCTCTAGGGTAGAGCTGGAAGAGTTTAATCTCTCTGTGGAGCTGTGTGCTACCCGAGGCCGGTCCCCTTATCTCTCTGAGCTTCAGTGTCCTCACCTTCCAGAATGTTCTACAGTGAGCATGAAATAAGAGAATGTCTATAAAGCCCCTTGTGCAACACCTGGCACATAAGAGAGGTTCTACAGATTGCTTTCCTTCTAAGACTGCCACTCTTGGCTCTTCACCTTTTTAATATAATGTCAAATGGGGAGACCGAGGCCCAGAGAGTTCAACATTGGCGGCCATTTGCCACTTAGAGGCTGCGGCCACTTGATCAAGCCCTGGACTCCACATCCCTCTGCAGGCTGCCTCTCTATCTCTGTGTCCTCGAACTCACCACCTGAGTCCCAGGCTTCCCGCAGGAGGGGGTCCTGGGAATGGCACCCTTGCGGGAAGGGAGGTGTTGTGTAGAGCTTCCTCATGCTGCGTTTGCGTGTGGTCCAGGCATCTGCATCTGAATCGGGCTTTTGCTTGGGGCACAGTAAGTACCAAGCACTGGATGCCAAATGGACAGACTAGCTTTCCTTTTACACAACTCAACCCGCCTGCCCAAAAGACTAGTGGAAGAAGTGACGATCGGGAGTGTAAGAAATAATTCTGTTTATTGATTAGAAGATGGTATAAAATTACAGCAATTTGCAGGCATTCTGGGCTTTCCGGGAGGGACATGCAGTGCTGGGCTCTAGCAGGAGATGGAGTGGAGACATGGACCACAGGACGCTGGCTCCCTTCCTGGGCCGTTAAGGGATTGGTACCACCAGCATAGGCGCTAGTGAGAAAGAATTATTGGTCCTTGCTTCTGGAAACAAAGAACGTGGGCAGCTGGGTCATCAGACAATGCCGTGCTTAGTGATTCAGACCTACCCTACCCCGGTTAGGCGCTGGCTCTCCCAATCTAGTCACAGTAGATTCGTCTGGTTCCACATAACGCTCATCTTCCCACCGGAGGCAGGGAAACAGGCACGCTGGTCGGGAGGCCATCAGAGGATGGAGTGCGTTTGGCTCAGGTCATCTTGCTTCCAGATGCGTCGAGGTCTGCTGCGCTCGGAA